GGAAGGATTAAATAAGCTAATGAGCATTAATCTGTGGCATGATGTGAAACAATAGTAGGAACTGAACACATGATCCTTCTTGCTAGGAACATTGAACACACAGACATGTTGCAAGAAATAGTGTTTTACTAATAAAAAAGTCACTAGTATCTTATATTTTGTAGACCACCATGGGCTTTTAGACCGTCTGTTTGCTCCACGATTATCTTGTAACAGGTAGGAAGAGCATTAAGCTTGAGTAACAAAAATATGAAAGAGTAATCTCATGAAGAAACTGTAGGTTTATTTTCCTCTTGCCGAAAGTTAAGAGATAGATCATCTCAACTTTTTGGCAGCTATCTGGGGCTATTTGGCAGCTCCATGAGGAACCAGGCTCCTTCTAACTTCCTGCTCTGCCATTCTTAGTGTGTGACTTTAGTCCTGAGGTTAGTTCATGGCCCAAAGATGGCTGCTCTTACCTTCTGCCTGGCAGCCTACTTTCAGAGACGGAAAGGGTGAAGCACAAAAAGCCTGGTTCTTCCCAGGGACTTTCACGAAAGAGGCCACAAGATAAAGCTCGGGTGTGCCAGAGAAAGCAGGTGAGTTCACTGGAAACTATATCCCTAGGAAGTATCCCAGAGACACTGGGGTCGAGCCAGTGAGGTGTTTGTTTATAGGATACCTGAGGCTAGTTATTGGCAGGGAGAAAGCGGTAAGGGCCCTGAGCTTGTTTGGATGTCTCATCTTACGACTCCTTCTGGAGAATACCCGGCTGCCAAAGGCAGGAAGATATCGCACCCTTTAGCAGGGTGCTGGATCTGATTAGAGCCAGCCCTAAATATAAGGTAGAGAAGAGATACCTGCTTTTCTCTCTACAACTGCAGGAAGTGCTATCAATCTGGGAGTCCCTGGCAGAGAGGAAAAGACGATGAGCCTTGAGCTAGAAAGCCTCAGATGGAGTCCCAACTTTTCACTCAGCAGCTTCTCGAGCCATGTCTCTGCTAAGTAGGGATTATACTCTTAGAACACAGCCTTGGAGATGAAATGAGATATAATTACTATAAAATCATCTAAGGTATTAGTGTTGTCTGAGCTCTCCTCCGTACCCAGCAGAGCCTAAAGGGGCAGCAGAAGCCTGGCTTGGGGGGAGTATTGAGGATACCAAGGAAAATCTAAAAGACAACATCCATATAGAAACCTAAATATGTCATCTTTTATGTCCGGCTTCTTCCACTTAGCATGTTTCAAGCTTCATCCATGTTGTGATATGTATCAGTGCTTCATTCTTATTTATTGCCAAGTAATATTCCATTGTATGGGTCTGCCACATGTTGTGTATCCATTCATCCACTGATGGACATTTGGGTTGTTTCCACTTTTGGGCTATTTTGAATAATGCTGCTCTGACCATTCGTGTATACCTTTTTGTATGGACATACGTTTATAAGCAGGGAAATATCAGGAAATACACAGAGAAGGCTGCTCTGTGAGGGTTTGTCTGCTGCAATGATTCCTTGAGAAGTTGTCCTGGTTCTCCTGCTGCCAGGCAGTGGGGGCAGAGCTCACGGGACTTCCAGAGATGTCGAGTCGTGTACCTTCCTTCTTTCAATTTAATGCCAGGTTACCGGTCCCGTCTTGCAGTGACTCATGACAAACATTACTGCTGGTTGTGGAGGAACGAGTTGGCTTTGGTTTAGAAGCCAGATTCTGCTTGTTGCCACTTTGGCAGGTTACATCCTCTCCCTGAGCTTCAGTCAGGTGTCTTATCTGGGAGATGGAGGTAATAGCTGCTGTGCAGAGTTTATGTGAGGATGAGATAATGCCTGTGAGGTATCCAGTTGAGAGCAGGTACTATGGCTATTGGCAGTTGCCCCGGGCAGTAGAGCAATTAAAGACACAAAGGGCACAGGTCAGAGACAGGGTAACACAAAGCTCTTTGAATGATTTAGCTATTTTAGAAATGTTTAAACCACTTTTCCCATAAGCACTATATTAGTTTGCTAGGGCTGCCAAAGCAAAGGACCACAGGCTGATTGACTTCAATAACAGAAATTTGTTGTCTCTTAGGCCTGGAGGCTGGAAGTCTAAGATCAAGGTGTCATGAGTTTTGTTTTCTCCTGAGGCCTCTCTCCTCAGTTAGCAGATGGCCACCTTCTTTTTCTCTGTGTCCTCTCATGTCCTTTCCTCTATGCAGACATATCCCTGGTGTCTCTGTGTGTCCAAATTCCTCTTCTTATAAGGTCATGGGACAGATTGGATTAGACCTCACCCTAAAGGCCTCATTTTAACTTAATCACTTCTTTAAAAGCCTCGCCTCCAACTATAGTCACATTCTGAGGTACTGGGGTGTTAGGAATTTTGAGAGGGACCTAATTCAGCACATAGTAAGCACCTAGGGAGCATCTACTCTGTCCCACACACTGGAAATAGAGAAGGGACAGTCTTAAGTCTGGCTCACAGGACACTCGGTCTTTTGTGAGAGACAAATAAGCAGATAATTGCAAAATGACTTTTCTCCATCGACCCTTCCCTGTGTTTCACGACTGAGCTTGCAATCTCTGCAGGTATATCACCAGATATACACTCAGCATTCTGCCCACCTCAGAATCCCAGTTCAATCAGCTACGAACCTTCCAGGTCTTTACCAGTTCAGGAAAAGAGTTTATCAGAGCCATTTAGAAACAGGAAGTAGGTTAGCGAAGAACCCAGAGAATCAAGGCCAGACTGAAGTGAGCAAGTAGTGAACCACTTGAAGTTTGCATGCCTCTTTTCCTCCCATTTCTGCCAGAGTTTTAGGGGCCTCCAAATACAGTGAGACAGTGGCCACCCCACAATCCCTGTGTGCCCAGGACCCAAATGCAAGGCTGTTCCATCTCCTTCCCACACCTGACCACATCTCATCTTTATGCTTAACACTTTCCAAGGTGATAGAAGCATGAAGTTAAGAATTATTGAGCACTTACTCTGTGTTGGGCAATAATCAGACACTTTACATATGTCATCGAACTTGATCCTCAAAACAGTCCCAATTCACCTCACTTTACAGATAAGGGAGCTGAACTGTAGCATCCCCAAGGTGACACAGTCAGTAAATAGCACACTTTACATGCAGGTCTTTCTAATTTCACTAAGACCTTCAGACTCTCAGCGGAGCGAACAGCGGCTGGTCTTAGGCTGGTTGTTAGTCTTAGGTTGGGTCCCCTAGAAGCAGTGCCTGGGAGGACTTTGGGTGCCTGTGACGTATGAAGGGTATTCACTCAGAAGAAAGGAGAAAGGGAAGCAGGGAGGGGAGGAAGGGAAGGAGCTGAGCGACGATGCGCCCCCTGCTAGCCTAGCTTCTGCCATGGTGAGTGCCGAAGCACCAGTCACCTGCAGGACTGGCTCTACGTTCCAGGTCACTCAGTCGCTGGCTGCAGGTTCAGTGGATAAGGAGGGTGTGTAGCTGGCAGCCCCACCAAGTAAGGGCAATTCCCCAGATGAGGTGCAGCCGTGAGCCCATAGTGCCGAGCACCAGGCTGGTAAAGTCACGAGCAGCTGCCACTTCTCACCGACTCTAGGAGCATGGATATTCTAAATGAAGATCCTAGGCAAACCATGCCTTGATCCAGAGGAATGCATCTTTACCACTTCAAGTCCTATGGCAAGTTACTGTAGGAGATACTTTTGGACCAGAGGGTGGGAGATGGGGGCTTTAGAATCTCCACGTTATACCTATAAACTGCTGTCTGATGATACAGCTGTAAGTCTCAACAGCATTTATAGTTTAACAAAGTGATTTTTGTGTACATTATTCATTTGATCATCACAACCTTATGAAGTAGATGGCAGGTTTCATTAGCCCATTTTACAGAGAGATTAAGTGGTTCAATCGCAGAACTTTGATGTCATAAAGCTGGACCTAGGGCTTGCTTCTGACTTGAGATGGAGGGCCCCTCCAAGATTCCGTACACTGTCTGGTGGGATGAAATCTGCAAAAAACATAACGCCCCACCTAGGGTGACCAACCCAGTCCTGTTTGCCCAGGACTTTTCCAGTTTAAAAACGGAAAGTCCCACATTCAGGGAAACTCAGGGCTGACTTATCCGTTAAGCAGAAAAGGCCACACCTGGGACCCCTTTTAGGGGCCCACAAAAGGGTCCTAATTTTAATTCCTTTTAACAGCAGAAGAAAAAATGAATACTATAACAATAATCAATATGTATTAACAAAGCCAGCCTGGATTGTTATTCATCGTTATACCAACACAGTCATAAAATATAATTTTTAATTTTGTATGTGTATGCATGTGTGTGCATGTGCTTGTGTGTGAAGGAAGAGGCCATCGAAAGCAAAAGTGCCTAAGACTCAGTGTCATAATGCAGCCCTGAACGCACCATCATCCCAGGCAAACTGGGAATGAGAATCACCTCAGTCCCTTAGCAGCTTGGCAGTAGCAGTTCGTCACTTAGGGCTTTCCCACACAAGGATTACCTAAAACCACCCGTACTTCCCAAGGTCTGTGATTTCAATGCTCTGGCTGCTTCCCTTCTAAACACATATCAGTTGCCTGGGTTCACTTTGGCTTCCCCAGAGAAGGAGCTGATGAGCCCTTCTGCATATTGTGCTGTAAACTCCATGTCTCCGTCTCCCTGTTGACCTGACCCGATACTTGTCTTACTTATCTTTTTGTGTCTCCAGCTCCTGACTCAGTGTCAAGCACTCAATGCATATTTTTTCATTGAATAAATGAGTTAATTGATGGCCTGATTCAGCCGATTGCTTGTCCTATAACACAGGGGACACTAAATACTCCTGGCTTCAGTTTCCTCATCTGTAAAATAAATGCATTGGAATAGATGAACTCTCAGGTTCTTAGGGGTCACTTCATATCATGTATTCATTATACCAGATTATGTGACCGCCAATGTCATTGAAAAATGTGTCTCGTTAGCAATGAATGAGTCCCTTGTTGATTCTTTGTCGAGTCATTACTGTGTTTTCCCCATCCCCATTTTTCTTTTAGATCCTTACTGGAAGACAGCATGTCCAATTTTACCTTGAGAAAAACATCTCCCACAGGAAATGGTAATGTAGATGATGTTTCCCTTACTCAGAGAACTTAAAAATAGGAGAAAAACAACGCACAGGTCTTTTTTTTCCCATGTAGCTATGAAATTCTTAGAAGCAACCATCTAATTTAATTAACATGGCCAAAGTTAGGCTTAAGAAAAAAGTAAGAGTGCTATAGATTTTACTCATCTAATAGCAATTCAAAAATTTCTTTTAAAAATCAAGTGTGTGTGACCTTCTGTGCTTTTGGCTCCCATGAGATCAAAGAATTAAGTTATTTATAATCAGAAGCATCAGGACTTACTATTGTTCACTAGGTACTTCTAAAACAGTCTCGTGTGTCCTTTTGAGGCACATTTCTTTTTGAGCAAAATGGCCAACCCACTAAACCCGGTATTGGTTTTTCCCAGGCCTGTGGTTCTACACTCCCAGGTGTGGGGCAGGGCTTCATGGTGTGCATGAGCAATTTCAGTTGGCACCTGAGCAGTTTTATAAGTTATCTTTGATGATGGGGCGTGGGATTTGTTCTTTCTTGCCGGTGCATCCTACTTTGAAACAGTACTGGATTTGCCAGCCTAGAAGAGTGATGCTGGCCAATCAGATGCTCCTCTCGAGATTTCCAAGTTAATAAACACACACTCAACTCCATGCAACTACATCTCTTGATGTTTCATTTTTCTGTTGATAGATATGAAGAGTACCACTCAGGGGACTACACTGAAGCAACAGGGTTTGCACGATGTGAACAAAAGGAGGACTTTCTTACAGGATAACAGCTGGATAAAGGAACGTCCTGAAGAAGAAAAGTAAGAGCGTGGGTGGGTGGGTGAGTTTCCATTTGGGAAACTAATGGCCATGTGGAAATTGGATACTTTCCTTCTAAAACACTTTGTTGCTTGGCCTCATGTTTGGTAAGATTTAGTAAGCATAAATTCGTTACATCAGATTTTTAAGAATATCTCTACCATTTTTAATATTCACATACCTAAAAGAATATGACTAATTAGTGAGAAAAAAGTAGGATTTCGCTGTTATAAATAGCATAGACATTGGTGCCTACTTGATAATCTGAAAAAAAAAAAAAGACATTCCAGTTTCCAAAAAGGTAATATTTAATCCATGGTAACGAGATTCCTGGTGCCTGATGTCAGTTGAAACAAACACAAGTATGATTCCAAGTTTACAAATTTAATAATAATTTATCTAAAATTTCCTTATGTGCAAGTAAAACCGATCAATTCTCAACTCATTTTAGTCCCCACTGGTCGTATACCTCTAGGTATGGAAAGGTGGTAAATTCAGTATCACTTTGTAAGAGAAAACACTTAACCATCACGAAAGTATTGTCTGCTTTAAGCATTGTTTCTATTAGCTATATGTTTAAAGATCTGAAGACTATTACCCTAAGCATATCACCTCATTGCCAACATAGATTTATAATAGGCATTTGTCCATCCCATATATATTTATTATAAATTGTGTATATATATATATATATGTATATACACACATACACATATGCATATGTCTTTGATTTCCTCTTATGTGTCCGGCTAGATACTAGGTACTTTACGTATAAAGCATCACTAAATTTCACAGCAATCACGTGAGGTAGGTATTACATCCTCATTTTTACAGAGGAGGAATCTGAGGCTCAGAGAAGTTAGGTAACCTGTTCAAGAGCACACAGCCATTAAGAAGTGGAGCTAAAAGTAACATGACCCACCATCTTCCCATTACACCAATGGTTCTCAGTCAGGGACAATTTTGTTGCCAGGGGATGTTTGGCAAGGTCAGGAGACATTTTTAAATGTCAAAATTGGAGGGTACTCCTGACATCTAGTCAGTAGAAACCAGGAATG